CAGGTTGATGCGCACATAAAAACAAAACCGAATAAGTATCAATTAATGTTCGTATTGTTGCTCTTATTATTGCTACAATTATGACCATGATGGTTGTGTTGCTATGATGAAAGTGTTGCTGGTGTGATGAATGTTGCTCATGCTTTCGACAAAAAACATTCACCAAACATGCACCAGAATGTGACACTACGGCGACACTAGAGGTCGAACACGTTCACTTGAATGATTTATGTCAATTGCATCTATTGTGTGAAACGAAGCACAAAAAGAGTCTATCAATTGTTCAACACAGAATATTTTACGCTTCAACTCTTTTTGTCTGATGAACAAACCGATTTCAGTTCGAAAATGATTCCATTTGGGAAACAAATTTGTTTTCGTGCAATTCAACATTCAAAATTCCACAACAAAAGCGTTTCTTACGACAAACAAAACGAGCATCTACTATAGTGTCATTCGAGATCTCTATTGAAATCACATTCTTTGTGAGAAAATCAGATATCGCTTTGCATTCTCCATTTATTGTTTGTTTTCCTTTGTGTGGCATTCCTAAGTTTCTATCACCGCAAACATGTCTTCGCATTATTTTTCTAGCAAACTGGTTAGCATTGTATCTCGATTGAGCGTAATAAAGATTCTGATTGTATGGTTTCTTTTTCTGTTTTTTTTTTCTTGAAGGAATTTCATTCAATAGAGCGAAGTTCAAAAGTTTTTGTGACATTCGTAGAAAAATTTTAGATGTATTGTGTCTTATAGGAGCAATGAATCGATGGCTATTGTTTATGAAGTTTGTTTTGTTTTACTGTCATTGGTGCCATCTTCAGACGATGAATGGTTCGTTTTCGATTAATGTAAACGAATCATTCAAGAAACTGGTTCTAACGATATAAAGCAAACAAGTCAAGAATTTCTTGATGTTAGGCTGAATCAAATTCAGTCAGATCGACGTACCAATATCAGTCTTGGGATATTACACCGGTTATTAACCTTCAGCTGTATTGCAGTCTCAAAATCACACATACTCTGACATACTTCGTCAGTAATTCATTGATGAATGTTTAGAGATGTCCCAATAAAAATGAATCTGAGCAAAACAATTGAGGTTCGAGTGCATAATGAACAAATGAGATTTGGAATGCTATACGGCAGAAGTCATGGAGAATGAATTGGTGAAGCAGTAACCTGTTAAGATTGTCCATCGAGTACGCTCTTGAGTAAGGCTGCAGATTCGGCGGTAGATGAGGTGTGAGGATCGGTGGAGGCATTGAAGACATCTTCTTGAGTAATTTTTTGTGTTTTTTGTGCCATTTCTTGAGCTGTTTCGGACTTGGATGAGATATTGGCATGAACTGCGGCAGTGGAACGGGATGTGTTGCTGGAGTGGTATCGTACATGAATGCTTCGTTCAACGACAGTCGTGACTGTGCATTAGCCCAGTGCTGAAATTACTTCACACTTCGAATTTGTTTTGAGCAAATCAATCGTCAAACATGTTCATATATATCTAGCTCAATTAGTCAACTGTTTTGAAAAAGGATGGCTGCGTTCACCAAATATACGTCTTCAAAATGATAATCAATCGTTGTGTCCAAGAGGATCAATAACATTTTGCTGCTTTTTCTGATGAACCATGAAAAATGTTGCAAAATTGATCAACAAATTGATTTTATTCGATAAATCCCAACAACTTGAAGGATGAAGGATAATTTGCAACGTAAACACTAGAAAACAGCCATATGTTTGGCATGAAAGACAATATCGGGGAAAAAGAATGAACACAAGATTGTAAGTTTTTCAAGATGCAACGCTTGGAAGCACTCGAAAAAGCACTTTTGACTGTTTACGCAGTAAATAGTTTTGTTGAGTATTATTTGTGAAGATCTTTCATTTGCATTCTGTTTTCGAGAAGATTGCTCAATGTATTGTTCAATTGTTTCAATAGCTCCGCATTTTTGAGACATTCGCAGTGAACACAAACAAACTACGAAGTTTAATTCTTTTTATATGCATCCTATGAATATGTGGCGATTTTGATTGAAGTGGATGGCGTGATGTTTTTACGACTGTTTATGATTCGTACTTCCGCATGTGCTGTTAGGTGTCAGCAAATGATAACAACACTCCGAATCAAAAGAAT